TAAAATGAGGCAGGAGGATGGCAATGAGTCTGAAGTCAGTGTGAGTTACAAAGTGAATTCCATACCAGTCAGGACTACAGAAAGAGTAGTAACCAAAATAAATACATAAAGCCAGGCCAGGGCCAGGTGATAGTGGAACACGCCTCTAAACCCAGCACTTGAGGGGCAGAGGCAGGGGGACGACTGTGAGTTCAAGGCCAGCCTGGTCTACATGAGCTAGTTCCAGGACAGTCTCCAAAGCTAGAGAACCCCTGCCTCGAAAAACAAAAATAAATAAATAGGCCCGGTGATACAGGCCTTTAATCCCAGAAACTCCGAAGGCTAATGCAAGAAGATCTGAGCTCAAGGTCTGCCTGGGACAGAGTGAATCCAAGGGCACAGCATGCACAGCAAGGCACTCTACAGTAGAAGCAAATTCTTAGCCAAATAAACAGCCACCCTACCAAAGACCACAAATCCCAGCCTCCTGTACAGCTAAGGCCACATGACTAAATTTGACCAATAGCACAGGAAAAGATGACACGCTGTTGTCTAAATGGACCTTACCATCTAATGGAGAGGAAGAGACAGACATGCAATGAATAAGTATATATAAATCACCAATGATTCACTATACAGCTATCAGCAATAAAGGTTGTGAAAGTAGAAAATCCTGCTTGGCTTGGGAGGGCGGGGAAGGGGCTGTGGAACAGGGCTTGCCTAGTGTGTGTAAAGTCCCAGGTTTAATTCTTGCCTCCCCCACCAAAGGCATCTGAGCAGTAATGCAGAGAAAGAAAATATGTTTTTAGAAGGAGCCAGGGAAGGAAGAGAAGTAAGTGGTCATTGGGCCATGTGCACAAGAACCTGACAACTGACAACCTGTCACAGGCAAGGAAGTGACCCTGAGACCTAGGGCCTGAAGTCACTCCCTGAAAGGGATGGTCGCTACTGGGACTGTCCTGACTGAAGGGAGTCTTTGTTCCTATCTCAAAGGAAGGTGATCTCTCTAGAGCTCCACACAGCCTCAATTGCTACCCCTAACCAAGTACCAAGCAGATCTGAGAGAGATGCCACGGTCTCAACACCCTTCCACCCAAACGTGTGCTGCCGGACAGTAAACCTCAACCACAAGTCCCATTAATACTCCTAAATAAAAAACCCAACTCATCATTGGAATTGTGTTTTGTTTTTTAATAAAAAAAAAATAGGGAAGGAACAAAAAAGTTAGGGTTTATTTGATGATGGGGGTGCTATTCAGAGTTGATGCCTTGTCATCAAGAGATGTTCTTGCCGGACGGTGGTGGCGGACGCCTTTAATCCCAGCACTCGGGAGGCAGAGGCAGGCGGATCTCTGTGAGTTCAAAACCAGCCTGGTCTACAAGAGCTAGCTCCAGGACAGGCTCCAAAACCACAGAGAAACCCTGTCTTGAAAAACAAAAAAATAAATAAAAAAATAAAAAAGAGAGATGTTCTTAAGATGACTACTGTATTACATATGCACATGCCCCTTCATCAAAAAGTATTTATCTTGTCAAAATTTAGCTTAACAATAATAATATTATATAAACTTTCAAAAACTCGCTTACAAAAGAGGCATCTATGAAGAACTGCCAAGAACCCAATGTGGTTCTCCGTCAACGAAAAGTGTCTCGGTGGCACCAAGGCAGTGAAGATATTCAATGTAAGGTTTCATTCTCAATCAAGAACTGTAACTCCTTGGAGGATTCTCAAGGAACAATTTCAAAGCCAAAGTATAACTTTAAAAAGCATAGCTGTTTTATATAAATACAATGTATCACCATCATTTTGTTTTAATAAACCAAAATTTAAAACTGAGACTTGTCTACATTATCTAATATAAACGTCCACTTTAGTCATGTGAAACCTGCCTTCAACTCTCACACGCCCAGCAACAGACTTCACACTCCAGCCTAACACTGAAGTTGACAGGAGACAAGAGTTCAAGATTCCTTCGTTTAGGGACAACAAAGGAGAAACTTTAGGTAACTTGAAATAATGATTTTTTTTTTCAAGTAATTAAACACCAATTTTAATCTCTATATTTTGTAATCCCAAATTGTGCAAGCATTGGGTTATGAATTACCACAGGCTGTCTAGCCATCAAATACTGCCAAGTAGCCAGGACAACACAGGGTCCCAGTCTCCGGAAGGTACACCCACTGCACACACTACTATGGTAAAGCATGCTGTCAAGCTTCAGGTGACCCTGACTGATATTTCCAAGCAAGTCTTTTGCTTCTGAAGTGAAAATAGACAAGTAGAAATGGAGGAAAATAGACAAGTACTCAAAGGCGAGTAGACAGCTGGGGCCAAGGTACTGCTTAGGAATACCCCAAAATTATCAGGACTAATAAGGCAAACACAGAGCCAAGCTCTTGCCAGAGACTTTCTGGAAGCTCACGGTGGTTGCTGATTTGGAGGTCAAGCTCTCTCTCAAGAGGTGGGGGGGACATTGCTGGGAGGAGGGGCACTAACTGCAGGTACAAAGAGCTCTCTGAGACAGGAGGAAAATGACAAATTCACACACATCTGATCACCAGCACCAAGAAAGTCACAAATCAAGCCGCCCTGGATCTTGTCATGCCATGCAGTAGGAAACAGTTACCCAAAGTCCCACCCAGGCTGTCTTCCTACAATAGACTAGGCCCTGTAACATCTCCATGTGATTTACATTCTGTGCTATTAAAAAGAACAGGTTTAAAGTAACACACAGAGTACATGTACACACAACGGGGTTCACGGCCTGTCACATCTGTAACAAGGTGTCTTTACTTTCCCAGCACTGCAGACTCAGCTCCTTGAATACATTGTTGCACTTGCTCCTCCTCACCCCCATCTCTAGGTCACAGATACAGGAAGCCATAAGTCAAAGTAGGGACACATTTCAAGGGAGATTTTCTAGCCAAGGGTCTTTTGACTATCCATGTTATCTTGACTATTATTTTCTTAATCCAGAGAACACAGTAAAGGTTAAGGTTCAATTTTTAATAGGTCACACACCAAAATGTTTTCAGAAAAGCTCTCATTGGATCACTTCCTACCCTTACTAACAATTACCATTCACTCAATGCTATTCCTTGAAAGATACCAATCTTTTCACCATCCACCAGTCGTAAGACATAGGTGCCCTTACAGACACAGGGAAGAGCCTTCTAGAAGAATTTCTGAGCTTATCTGTCTCTGAGGTAACTATGAACTTTCTGTAGCCATTTTTACAAGAGAACTTGGTGTAGATGCTGACAAGAGTCTTTTAACTTTTTGGCAAGGTCTGAAGTCTGTTTGGACAGCTCCCATGGACACCACTGCCATGCCAAGGCAAAGGCTCCGAAGGCCAGCTTTCCTTAAGACATGGACCCTGAAAATTCAGTCACTAGAACCAAATAAACTTCCCTAACCACTACTCCTCTCAACTCTTAACCAGTGAACTCCGAGTTCCTGTCTCCCATGTACAGCCTATCTGGAAGTGCAATTCTTTAAGAATGATTGAAAAGAGAAACTTAAGAGAGAAAAAGTAAAGCAATTCCACTACATTACTTCAATCTCAAATCAAAGAACCTACCAGTTATCTAATATGCAAAGTCCAAAAGGATCAAAATGGAAAGCAAAGTATTGAAAGAAGGACAAAACAACTTTACAACAAACTTTATGACTTAACAACATACAAAAGTAGAACTCTATGCTATAATTACAATTCAATGTGAAAAACAAAATGCACCAGTGTTTTTTAGTTCTTCCATTCTTCCACCTTTTCAAAAGCTGACTAGTTTGCTTGGGGGGGGGGGGTGACAGGTTTCATTAAGAGTGCTCTCTCTGACTGCCCTTCTGCAACCCTAAATTAACTCCACCAAAACCTGTACCCAGTCTGTAGGTTAGAGCCCTGAGTCATCACACAGTACCTAATAAGTCACAGGCTGGGGATCAGAAGCCCAGGCTGACAACTGACATCTGCCTCCCAGAGACCTGACTGTGTGACCTTGGACTAATCACTGCCCTCCTCTAGGCTCAGTCTGCTCACCTGTAAAATGGGTAACATTTCCTATTGGTAAGTTAAGCGAGGGAACACATAAAACTAGTTAAGAAGGCCTGGCACTAATCTTTGAGTGTGCAAACACTGTTACAAGGTACATTTTCTGGCGATCTGGCAGAACTCAAGAAGCAAACGATACTGCACCTCGATGACAGGATTCTTAGAATCTAGGGCTGGGCAAAAGACAGACAGGTCGTCGGAGTCACTGACTCACGAATGCTGCCGTTTTTTAACTATTTCGGGGTAGGGAGGGGCCTTTGGCTAAGAGCTGATATTCAGCCGCTCTGATGCCTCTGGGGCTTGAGTGGGTCTGTGCCTATAAATAGCCCGGTGAAGTTTTGTTGCGATACACAGGTATCCATTCTGATTCGTGTCTCCTCCCGCACCTAAGCAGGTCACCCCGGGCCCTCCGGTGGCCAGGATGGCCCGCGCTCCCCGCCCGACTTCCGAGCACCCCGGGTTCCCAGGCCTGGGCGCGGGCCCACAGGGCCTCGAAGACCGCAGGCTCGCCGACCTTCGCCGGCCGGCCCGGCCCGGCCCTGCGTCTTCGCCTCCCGGCTGCCAGCCCCATTTTCTTAACCCGTACATTGTCCTTGCCTAGAACCCCGACGTTCCGCACGCCGGTGGGGACCGAGAGGAGGGACGAGGGAGGAGCTGGGGGAAGAGGATGAGGAGGAAGAGGAGGAGGAGGAAGACAGCCTCCTCCCCTGCGCCCGGGAGGCCAGTGGAGGTCTGGCGCCGGCCGGGCCCGAGGCCGCGGGTCCCACCCGCCGCAACTTTCCTCGGGGACCCGGCCTTGCCCGGGCTCCCTCCCGCGGTGGCAGGCCCCGGGCCGCCCTCTCGCTCCTAAGATGGCAGGTCCCTCCCTCCCTCCGCGAGAGACCTGGCGAGCTCGGCTCGCAGGGCCCCGGGAAGCCGCGCGCAGGGTCGGGACGCGCCGCGCAGGGCCGCGCCGGGCGGGGCGGACACTCACCGGGACGATGGCGGGGCGCTTGCGCCGCTCCCTCCGGTGAGTCTCAGCCTCGGCTCCCGCGCCGCGCCGCGCTCCCGCCGCGGCCTCCGCAGCCAGCGCCGCCCCGGCCGCCTCTCTCCGCCCCCGGCGTCCCCGGCTCCGCGCCGCAGACGCGCTGGCTCAGGGTCCCGGCCGGCCGGCGGGGCCGGCGGCGCCCGCGGCCGGGGAGGCGACAGCCCCTCCCCGGCAAATACCGCAGTCCCCGGGCCCCCGAGAGCCGGCGGCGGGGCCCGGCGCGGAGGGCGGCGGCGGCGGCGGCGAGGCCGGGCGCCGAGCGGCGGCCGCTGCCGGCCGCTTCTTCCCGACGAGGATTTTTGTAAATCTCACAAAATGGCGCGCGCTCCGAAGCTGCGCAGCGAGGAGCGCCGGGGCCCGAGCGGCGGCGGCGGCGGCTCCGCCAGGAGAGCCCGGACCGCCCGCCCCCGATCCCGCACAGACACTCGCGCACACTCACCGCGCGCACACTCGCCCTCGCACACGCTCCCTCACACTCACACCGGTCCCGCCCGCTCGCCGGCGGCGGCGGCGGCAGCAGCGGCACCCACAGCAGCAGCAGGAACAGCAGCAGAAGCGGCGGCGGCGGCGGCGCTCGCACCCCCGCTCAGGGAGCCCGCTCTCTCAGCCCGACCCGGGCCGCGATCGGCAGCAGCGACGGCAGCAGTCTCCCCGGATCCCCCCGCCGCGGTTGCCGCCGCCACCCCCGCCTCACTCCAATGGGGCTTTTTATTATTATTCGGGCGGGAAGCGAAAGGGTTTAAAAAAAAACCAACCAACAAAATGGCGACGGACCGACCCGGTCGCTATAGCAACTGTCAATCAAAACGCAAAACCCCGGCTGACGTGCTGACGTCCTCCTCCCGCCCCCCCGGCCCCAAGCCGGCGGGCGGGGCCTGTTGCCCGGGCAACGGCAGATTCCGTTCCCTCCTTCCCCTCTCTCCTCCGTCCCCCAGCCAACCACCCAACCCCCCTCAGGTCACGTGAAGGATAAATTCGGAGCTCGGGCCCGCTACGAGTGTCAGAGGAGGGCGCGTGATTCGCTCGGGGGAGGGGAGAGGAGGGAAGGGAAGGGACGGGGGCGAGGCGGTGGCCTGCCGGTGCGCGGGTGCGCGAGCGAGCTAGCACCGGCCGCCCCGCCCCGCCCCCGCGCTCGCTCCCACGCTGACTGCGGCCCGGCCGGCGCGCGCGCCCGCGGCGCGAGCCCGCGGCCAACCCCGCCCGCGCAGGCCCGGGAGGGAGGGAACGGGAGGCCGCCCGCCCCGCGCCTCACCGAGGTCGCGGTCGCGAGCCCCTCGCCCGAGCCGGCCTGCTAGTGTCCGCGACGAGCTCGGGCAGCGGCCACCCCCGCGCTCGGCTCGGCTCGGCTCACCTCCGGAATCCGTCCCCGGCTGCGGGCGCGCGGCCGCCACCTTGATCAGACCGTGACCGCGCCCGAGCCGCGCCGACCGCGCAGAAACTTTCCAGGCTGGGCACGCTCCCGGGCGCCGGTTCCCCCGGCTTCTCCATCGGAATGCCCAGCCTGGACCAACCCCAGGCCTTTTTTTTTTTTTTTTTTTTTTTTTTTTTTTTTTTTTTGGTCCTTGCTTGTCATAAGCCACCTCGGTTTCCTGATTCTTAATTTGCCCACTTGGCCTTAACTGTCGAGTCTTACTGGAATTCTGCCTTTTTATTCATTCTTCCGCTTAGCTGAATACCGCTGGGTGTGCTCTCCGGCCATTGACACCGAAGTCTGCTGTGCTGGCTACTTTGTAATTAGACAGCCACTGGCTCAATTTGTATTTTGTACCTATTCTGAAATAACGGCCTTAATGGCCTGAAAGGGTATATACATTAAGATATAGGCCTGTGTGTGTATACATTGTTGCGTAGCAAAAATCACTGGATTGATTTCTAAACTTGATGTTTGCCATATTTATGTAGACGTTTTGCTTAAGCTGTTTGCAACAATTGCAATAGGTGCAGTCTTACAAACAAATGTAAGAACACCGATAAATACTCTCCTCTGTGCAGTGTGGCCCTAGGAAACACTTGCTTTACATGATTTCCAACAAACATCCTACAGCTAGTACACCGTTGGAACACTAATGCTAAAGTAAATTAGGGTTCGGAAAGGAAAATAGCTTGCTTTAGACTGCCCGGGATATCAAAAAGTTGCGGCACCCCACCAAAGTTCTTTCGGCTACATTTGCAAATTTGCACTGTTGATGTAATTAAAGTCCACAGTCAACATAATTAATCAAGAAAGAGGAAGTGGCCTAGAGTGTCCCCTTCACAGAATTTAGCACCTGATTCTTCCCAAACACAAGCTTGCCCCAGCTCCCCCCGCCCCCCTCCCCCAGCCCTACCTCCAGGCTCCTCACTCCACTGGCCAGAGTTTCTTTTCCAACACAACACTAAAAACTAAATTCCCATCAAATGTTTATTGTTCATAAAGGAGGGAACCTGCTTAATCTATGGATTACCTTGGCCAACTATGACAATGCCTCAAGAAATTGTCAGTCAGGTCAAGCTAGAAGGTGTTCAGAGTGAGGCAGGATTAGGAAGTGTTGGTCCCCACATCTGGGAGGGGCAACCTCTCCCCACCCAACACAACCTTGTCTGATATCAGTCAAAGAATTGTCCTGCCTGAGTTGGGATGCTATTCAATGTTTGACATGAACATCACCTAAAAAGTGGCCTACGAATTATCACTATTGACAAGGGTAGGACACGGTTGCCTCTGGAATAAGTGCCAGTTTAGTGTTGACTGGAGAAATTAGACCTCTGGTTTTATCTGAGAGCCTGGGACAGCAAAGACAAGCCCAGACTCTTAAGTCACTGCCATTCAGCTCATTCTACAGCATCCCATTCTACAAAGAGAAGACGGGCGATGAGTGATGTCACATCGGGGTGAGGACATTTGCAAACCCCGGGTTCCCACCACACCATAGTGTGTATTTGAAGAAAGAATCTACACAGAGATCAAGTCAAAAAATGAGCACTTTGGGCCAGACCCAGATTTGAAACTACCAATGTCCTTCCTTATAACAAGCTAGACCTAGAGACAGACACAACAAACCACTGACAAGGACCGGAAAATCCCGGCACAAGGAAGATCTGGGGCTGCGGAGCCCCAGCGAGAGGCCTCAACAGATTCTCCTCCCAGCCTTGCAAGAGAGAGAGGGGGGCTCAGTTTCCACCTCGCCTGTGGGCTTCTAACGTTCACAGCTGTGGAATGATGCACCCTTGCTATTTAGTCTGCACCTTCTTGGTAAGAACTTGCTGGGGAGCTAACAAGGTATCTCCTGGCTGCCCCACATCCCTTCACCCCCACATCATGGCGGTGCCCTATTTTAAGCCTATTAGACTGTATAGATGGAATCCTGCTGGGAGCTAAACCAAATATTCCAAGGACAAGTGAACTCATGTTCTAATCCCATCTCTGCCCCTTATGCAAGGTGAGAAGGGGAACAATTCCGAATCCAGCCCTGTACAGCTCAGGGCCTGCCGTCCAACAGGCTTCCATCCTTACAGATTCGGGACTGAGGGAGCACCTTCTGGAAACTTTAATGCAAATTATTCTAATTTTAAAGCCATCCATGTATATAAAATACTAAAACAAATTAAAGCAAGATGAAGGCCTTATGGAAACTGACCTTGATAATATGCTAGGAACTAAGAAGTTAATAGTTCTCTGCATCTGAGGTCCTAAAACAAAAGATAAAAGTGTGTGGTCATTTAAGGCAATTTAACACTATGAAAGAGCAGCGCTGTAAAATTGACTCACAGAAGTTGTTCCTAGAGCGGCTGGGTCAAAACCCGGGCTCTTACAATCCTCATGCTTTATTAAGGAGACAAATAATAGGGACAGAGCATGAAGATATATTCAGCGTACCCACACTGAAAAAGAGAACAGAGGGGTCCAGTGACCGCACCCCAGACTGTGTTGGCCAGAAGTCTAGATTTAGATAGAGGGCAAGAGGGAGGAATGGTTAGGCAGTCCCTGCAGAGTGCAGTGCCTCCCTGGGCAGCCTCTGAGCTCAGACAAGTTGTCAGACAAAGGGGCGAAGTCTCTCTCAGCCAAGTTCCTCTTCTGGCTGGCACCAGACCTTTTCTCCTCCCAGCATGCAGCTCCTGGGGAAATTCCAGCTCCACGGGGTGAATTGTTTCAGCAGTCCCCGCAGCCAGGGGGAAACTGCACTTCCTCCTCCCAGGACGTTACAGGATCACCCAGAGAGGTCCCCTCCTGTGGTCTTCACAGTAGCCCATATCTCTCAGGGTTTCCTAGGAAAACATGGGTGAGTGCTCACACCACACATGCCCTGGCCTTCCTTCTTTATTACTCATAAAAATTCTTTTTGGTTTTGTTTGTTTGTGTGTTTTGATTTAGCTCCCTGAGGACCTAAGGGCTGGTGGTAATGGTGGCTGGGAGAAGAGGAGGCACTCTCTTCAATGGTGTAGCCACTGACTGCTAAATGACCTAGGCTTCTCCAGTAAATAATCTCTCACCCACTCTCCTGTAAGCAACTTCAATAAAACTCACTGTGTCACCCCCCCTCCACAACGTGTTTATTGGATATCTGTCCTCTGTGAATATCTCTGGTGTCCACTCAGGGAGGTGGGGAGAGGGACCACCTTTTTATTGACTTCTCTGCTGCCAAAAAATAGGGTTTGAAAGAAATGAGAGTGCTGTGGTCGGGCCACATCATGGATATCAAAACGAGGCACGCAGCAAGACAGCCATTTCTCTGCATCTACCTCCGCTCTTATATCATAGACAGCGTACATAACATAAGCCAAGGTAAGTCTTCCCAGACTTCCCGCTGCTTCTCTCTACCATGGTCCCATACAAAGTGCTCGGCCAGCATCTTACAGTTGCTCATGGAATTCAACTGCTTTGTGCCAAGATATGGTCAAACAGTGCCCTTGTCTTTCTTGAAAGCAATACTCATTACCTTCTCATCCTATAGGTATGTTTGCCAAGATTATTTCATGGATTATTATTAATAATTTATTTTCCTGAAACTTTAAGGAAAAAATGAATATAAAATATGAAGTTTCAGCAAGGACGAGAGTATGCCTCAATCAGGAGGAAGGTGAGAGTAGACCCCTGAAAGTTGTCTCCAGACCTCCACATGGGTACCACTCATGCATGCCCTGCACACAAGCTTTCTCATGTACAAACAAACACACACAGTCTCCTCTAATAATAATTTTTTCTTAATATTTAAAAAATATGAAATTGTTAGGTTGACATACTGTTATAGAATAATCTTTTTGTACACTGTGAAGATGTATCTTTGCCAAGTCACCTTCTGATTGGTTTCATATAGAGCTGACTGGCCAATAGCTAGATAGGAAGAGGTTCGGTGGGACTTCTGGGCCAAAAGAGAAGAAGAGGAGGTGAATCTAGGTGCTGGAGAGACACCAGAGGACACAGAGAGGAAGCAGGACATGCAAGAGAGGTAAAAACCACGAGCCATGTGGCCGCACATAGATTAATAAAAATGAGCTAAGTTATAAGAGCTAGTTAAAAACAAACCTAAGCTAAGGTTGAGCTTTCATAATTAATTACAAGACTCCGTGTCATTTTTATGTGAGCTGGCAGCCCAAAGAAAAATCCGTCTACAACATACATGGTCCCCACTGTTTGAGAGCATCCCGAAACCGTGCTGTGATTTAGGCAACCCTTAGGAAGAAGTGCAGTACCCATACTGATTCACACCTGTCTTAGGGGTTCTTTGGCTGCAACAAAACACCATGACCAAAGCAGCTTGGGGAGGAAAGGGTTTATTTGGTATATATCCCAGCACTGTTCATCAGCAAAGGAAGTCGGGACAGGAACT